GGGCCGGGGCGCCGGCGCCGCCGCGGTGCCCGAGACGTGCGAGCACCTCTTCAAGGTGCTGGTCATCGGCGAGCTGGGCGTGGGCAAGACCAGCATCATCAAGCGCTATGTCCACCAGCTCTTCTCGCAGCACTACCGCGCCACCATCGGCGTGGACTTCGCGCTCAAGGTCCTCAACTGGGACAGCAAGACGCTGGTGCGCCTGCAGCTGTGGGACATCGCCGGTAAGGGGCGCGGCGGGCAGGGCCTTCGCCAAGTCCCCCCAAGCGGGCCAGGTGCCCCAGCTCCTCCGTTTCCCTTTCCCCTCCCCTAATTCCCGGGGTGGCCGAGAGAGATGGGTCAGGGGGGTGTCAGCAGGTGGACGCTGATGGGATAAGCGGGAGGCAGTAAAAAGCAGGCCAAAGTAAATGCATGAACAAATCAGCAATCCCGACTAGATGCCGCTGCCAAGTTGGCAGGGAGCAGCCATCGCTTTCAAAGTTGGAAGAAAAAGTCCTCTGTTCTAGGATTATGTCACCCGACAGGACGTGGGGAGGCCTTAGAGACTTTTGCAGAAGTTTCCACTCTGGATCTTGACAAGCGTGTAACGCTCCATGAAAGCCAGCTCCTCCTGTTCAGACTTAACATTTCACAGACGAGTGAAAGTTTTGGCATGCCCTACCCAAGAAATCAGGGTGCCTGGTGGCCTAATGGTAAGGAGCTGCACTGCCATATCAAACGCTTGTGGTTCGAATCCACCAGCCGCTCCCAGGGAGCATGATGGGCTTGCTGCTTCTGGGTGAGTTCCAACTGGACAGGACCCAACAATAATCTGAAAATTGGCTTTCTTGAATGAAAAAGAAGGAATCTTTTTCACTACCTACTGGAGAACCTGCTTTGGGCTTGGCAGTCCCCATTCCTCAGTCACCTTGACCGAGGTCACCAAAATGAGTGAGGGTTGGGGGGATATCTGAGGCCTTCTACTTCGGCCACAGTCCCTAGGCCAGCCCTCCTTCACCCCTCGATAGGCTGTTTTTTCTGGGTTTTGTTTTCAGCTGTTACTTTGGAGCTTACGAATCTCCTTAAGGGAGTAAAACTCTCCTCACTCTGTTAAAAACTGATCTCTGGGTTATGTGGTGGGTGGGCTGATTGCCAAGGCATGGTTCTCAATCTAGAAAATACATCAGAGCATTTGAAAAGATGATAATTGTGGGGCAAAGTGAATAAGGGAGAAAGGAGTCCAAGTTAACCCTCTTCAACCAGTATTGCTGGTTTTACCCTGATGTAGGAGCTGAAATCTACAAGAGGAGATTTATTGACTTTCTCCTGGGGAGCAGCTTGTACATTTGAGCCCCTTGCCTTTGTGTTGGCTGTGCAACTCCTTTACCCATGAAGCCACCAGAGAGTTGAGGGTAGAACCTTTGAGTGGGAGCATATTTAGAGTTGAAAGGGACCTTAGAACTGACCTCCTTTTATGTGAAGATAAAGGAAGGCCCATGGAGGTTGTGATGGCTCAGTTGACACCAGAAGGGTTGGGGACACAGAGCTACAACTTGCTGGTAGATTATTCTTCCCATTTACAGTTTATTTTGGAGAAACGGTTATAGAATTGAAACCCTTATATTTATTTAAAGGCAAGCACCTCTGCTCAAATGCAAAACAAAATGCAGGCCAACCTCACAGAGAAAGTGGGTAAAAGAGTTTTAGACTCAGCTTCTGTATTTGGGGTGGGGGAGGGGATACAGAAAACCAAAAGTTCGTTTGCAATGTTATCTTTTGAAGCCAGAGGCTTCTTTCACAACACTTCCTGCCATTGCACAAAGTCTTATGAACACTATTCAGTATTAACTGCCTTTCTTCTTGACAAAGTCGTGGATTCTTAAAGTTGCCCGAACATGTGACAGTCATTCTTTAGAAATCCTCAAAGTAACTATGCTTTTCATGAAAAAAAAAAAAAAAAAAAGCTGTACCTGGGTGGGTCGGTTTCTCCCTTACTCCTGTGTGAAAGAGTGTGGGATTTGGCTTATAAATTCTGATTGTCTCACTGCAGTGAGTGAGTGTGAACTCCTAGATTCTTAAGGCCCAGTTCTGTTTTCCGTCTTTAGAGTCAGATGCTTTTGTTCAACAATTTGGGAAAAATAAGATGAGTAAGAGTTTTCTTAGAATGTATCACCCTTTTCCCATTTTTTCTTTACATATTTATGGAGCTAAAAATGTGGCACTTCCAGTGTTTATCCGATCCTGGGACTCAGCCCCCATATCCTTGCCATTTTGCCTGAAGTCAGAGCTTGTGCTTTGCTACAGAGGAGAGTCAAATTTTATGATCTCAGAAAGGATCTCTGGATTTTTATATACTACTGTTTGGTTCTGGGTACATTTAAGCAAGCATGTACAATAATTACCTAGATTAGATAAAATTTTATGAGGGTAATTATAATTTGTTATGGCTACCTTATAATGGAACTTTCAGATATGAAGTCTTATTAAGTTAAGAAGCAATCATTTTAACCAAAGTTAGGGTAGCTAAATCATTAACTATGTTTATTTTGACTATTTCAGCTGCCACCTAATCCTTATTCATAGCATTTGAATTAAATAGTAGTGATGTAATAAAGGGAAATTGAAGGCCACTCCAGAGATTTCCCCCATGGCCAAACATACTTGCCTTATGTGGTAACGAAGTTGGATTCTCTTTCATTTTCAAGAACAGAAAATATTCCTTGATTGCAAAACAAAGTGGAGTCAGCCACTTGAGTATGACTAATTTGAGGTGTGTGAGGGATTAGATTTGTTTTAGAGATGGACAAAGTGATAATGAAATTATGGCAAGAGTTTCTATTCTTCGGAGCTTGACAAATGTGGTAGGTAAGGATTATTTCGTGCTTTCTGGGGATGGAGTCAAAAAGGTTAAGTTTAACTCTTCAAATGAATAACCATAATGACGTAGAGGGGGCTCTGGTGCCAGAGTCCCTAGGAAGTTACACTGTTATAACTGAAGAGCTGTGCCTCTGGTGATTCAAATCTAGTGGCTCTACAGGAGAAAGATGGGCAGTTACCTCCCACGCAGTTCGTGCCTTTGGAAACCCAGGGGACGTTCAGTAGGTGCTAACTCAATGGCATTGAACTTGAGTTGAGTGATTCAGATACAGACCTTCAGAACACTTTCTTTTGTATGAAAGAAATCTAACTGTAAAATACAAATTCACCAAAACATGACCATGGAAATAGCCCAAATGCCCCACCACAATGGAATGGATTGAAAAATTACGGTACATTCACACAATGAAATACTATGCAGCATGCAGGAACAATGATTTTGTAAATTACTACCTATATGGGAGAGACTGGAGAGCATTATCTAAGTGAACTAACTCAGTTTCATAAAGGACAAATACTGTATAAGACCATTATTGTAGAATGAGTTTGAGGATCCAAGGGGCGTGGTACTTAATCATAGGATGACACATTTGATGGGTGGAGGGAGGGATGGGGAAAGGAAAGGGAAAAGATACAGTGTGGAAAAAATGTATATGACCTTTATGAACTTTGTAAGCAAACTAATATAAAACAAAATGAAAAAAATGCAAATGCCAGCTACCTTTTAGTCCAAAGCCATCATGAATAATTGGGAAAAATACTGAATCTGTCAAAAGATTTCCTTTTACTTAGATCCACAATGAACATTCATGGATACCATAATCAAGAAATCAAAAGACATAATCTGTTGGGGAAACCTGCTGCAAAAAGCTGCTCTCAAGTGTTAAAAAGCAAAGTTGTCACCTTGTAGGCTTAGGTGAACTTGACCCAAGCCATTCTATTTTCATTCACCTCACTTGATGTGAAAGCTGAACATTGAATGTAAAAGACCAAAGAACTGATGCCTGTAAGTGGTGATGTTGGTGATAAGTGTTGACTATGCCATGAACTTACAGGAAAACAAACTAAACTGTTCTGGAAGAAATATAAACAAAAATGCTCCTTAGAGTAAGGAGAACAGAAATTCCTTTCACTCACATACTTCAGGTATGTTATCAGGAACCAGTTCCCAGAGAAGATTAGCATCATTGATAATGAAGAGGGAAAGTGAAAAAAAGGAACACTCCCAAGAAGGTACAGTGGGCTCAAACCAGCAACAAGAGTGTGGGTGGACAGTACCAGGCAGGGTCTGGCTCTGTTATCATAGGGTTGCTATGAGTTGGAAGTTTCGGTGACACCTAATTACAATCTGTATGTCAGGAGCCCTGAAAGTGCAGTGGCTCAGTGCTCAGTAGCTAACCAGAAACCTCAGTGGTTCAAACCCACTTCCAACTCCAGGAGAAAACAATGAGAGAGTCTGCGTCCTTAGAGATTACAGCCTTGGAAACTGTAGGTGACAGTTCCACTCTGTTCAACAGGGTCAACATGAGGTGGAATGGACTCTGGGGCAGTAAGCTGTGCATTTTTTGTTGTTGTTGTTGTTGTTGTTGTTGTTTTGGTGTTGTTTTAAACCCATACCTTTTAAGACTGGTGCTCAAAATGTAAATAAAATCTCAGTATAATTTTAAAGAAAACCAGAAGCCAAAAGTCACTGCCTTCAAGTCAAGTCTGCCTCATGGTGATGGCTCATCAAGTTTCTGAGACGGTAAATCTCAGTGGGAGAAGACTGTCTTTTTTATCCTGCAAAATAATTTGGGGCGGGGGGGGGGGGTGGCGGTCCAAACTTTTGACCTTTTTGGTCATCACTCCGACATTTAACATATTATTCTGCCAAGCCTTTTTATGATTTTGAAGCATTATTACTAAATGCCTGCGAAATTAAGATGTAGAATACGCTTTTTAAAAAAGGATTATATAATATGATGTTTGTTTTGAGGGGCTCTAGGGATACAAAGATTATGGCCTTGAGCTGCTTAGCTTCATTAGGGGTTCGAACCCACCAGCCACATGTGACAGTTGGTTTTTATAAAGATTATAACTTAAAAAACTATTGTCAGTTCTGTTTATCGTATTCTGTCACTGTGAATTAGAATCCGTTTGAAAGCAATGGGTTTGGTTAAGGTAGGTTCTTTTAGAAGCCTAGTAGAAGGAGAAATAATATTATATTCACTTTACATATGCAACCTTCCTTGCTGAAAGTGAAGAATAATTGAAGCAGTTGTTGCATAAGATCAAAAATATAGCCTTCAATATGGATTGTGTCTCAACGTCAAGAACACAAAAATTCTTACAACTCGATGTTGTTTCTCATGAGTAGAGCCAAAGGAAG